TCTGAATGCTTTCGACCTCACAATCTCTTCTTCGAAGGTCTGTCTTGAAGCATCGTCAGAGAGCTGTGCCAGAGAGCAGGCCCATTAGAAAAAGTAACAGTCTGGTCGTGAATGGCCTGAAGTCAGACTCTAAATTCTTACTACACATTCTTACTCCCTCTACTTACAAGGTTGTTTCTAGTTTTTCAGTCTCTGTAACACTCAACCTTCCTTTGGGGAGCAACTCAGCCTCAGGGATCACTTCTGTCTTCCCCATTCTGTCTCCACTATAATCAACAGCTATCCATCAGAGACATTCCCGATTCTGATGACCAGTATGTGTGATAATGCCTTACCGTCTTCAGCCCCTATCTGATAGGTCAGAGGAAGTTCGTGGGTAAATCCTGCACTCAGTGGTTTCAAGGCTCTTACCCTCCCCGGTGCTTTGACTATCACTCGGTGTCTGCCAGTGCAACTTTTTGGAGTATTGCCTGGCATTAGTGCAGTCTCAGTCTGGTATGACTTATCCCAAGATAAGAACCCATAGGCTTAGTTAGACTTGCTTGCCAAGTGAGGATGTGCCAACCGGTGGATAACTGCCTTCATGTCTCCTTCCATCACTTTGTACACCTCTGTTATTCCCTGGCTGTCTTCATTTTCTCCAAGACTCCAAATTGTTTTCAGGGAATTATTTGATATTTTCTTTAGGAAGTTTAAAATCCCATATCTTAATACATTTGTACCGAGTATACAAAGTGTATTGTATTTTACACATGTAATAAAAACAATGGCTACAATCTAACTTTTACTCTGCCTGACATTATGTCAATTTAATCCTGTTAACCCCCCTCCGTAGTTCATAAATGAAACAGCGAAGCACTCTAGATTAAGTCATTATTCCAGTTTTGAGTGGAGGATCTACTCGGGATAATCATAAAGATTGGTTCATATGAACTAAAATGAAAGAACAACTTAGGTTTGGGGGATGCTAGCGAGCACAATATCCATCTTCGAAAGCAGGCCTCGCAAGGCAGCTGCACTTCCTATTATTCACGCTCAAGGGTGCTTGGCTGTGTTACAATCCAAATAAGGACACGGGGATTCTTTCCAGATCACATGGATTACAAGTGTGCAACACTGAAAAATAATAGCCTCCAGAGACACATCTGAAAGGCTCATAAATTTTGGCCTTTACATATGACAATGTCTTTTACAAAACCTAACAAATGATCATATCCACTGTGGGATTGTACAATAATCTCCATAAAAGTCATATTTCTATTTCTAGCAGAAATTTTATTTTTCTAACCCAAATTGTTTTTACAGAGAGATTTTTTGTCTTTATTTGTTTTAACTGAAACCCTGTAGTCGGTCATCTTTAGTAGGAAGAAGTGTGTATGTATGTGTACATGTGTGATTGTGTGCACTGGTTAACTGACAGTTCCTATTTTGCCCTGTGATAACCTTTCCCCCAGACTAGGCATTTTCAGCATCTCTATGAATCATTCACAGAACCATTTTCTCTCTAGAAAGCATTTCCAAATTCAAACTTTCATAAACCAGGAGATCTTAAAATATAAATTAATGTGCAACTAAATATTGCCTGACTCTTCCTTATTTTGTTCAGTCTGTTTTACTAGAATTCCTATGCAAATAGTATGTTGATAACTGCAAACACATTTCAGAAAGATCCTCAGTGCCACACTTCATGCCTTACAAAATATATAGGAAATCAATCCGTGTTGTACAGTTTTGCTCAAAATGCCTTAAGTACACATTTCTGGCACAGAAGTCAAAGATCCTTGAGGGGCGGTCTTAGGTCTAACAGATGGTACGATGGCAAGTACATAAGCGTAGGCTTTCCAGGGAAGACAAAATAGCAATGTACAGCATTTGATGTTCTCCAGGGCATAGTGTCCCATTGGAGCCAAGTCTAAGGCAACAGTGTGTTGACAAAAAGGCACAGCTTGGAAAAGATGAGAGGCAATGATATCCGCATAACATGGAATCTTAGAATCTGTGATCAAAGTACCCATAACAGTTTTGAAAATACATACATACATATGTATGTATGTGTGTGTGCGTGTGTGTGCATACTACACACATGTTTGTGGTGTATGTGTGAGTACATGGGTGTAGGTAGGTGCATGTGTCTGCACTCACCTGCAGCCCTGGGAAATACCCATCCGTCCACTGTAAGTAAAGATATGAGTGTGTGAACTGTGGTTAATAGGCCCAACTCTAGTGTCAAGAATGCTACAGCTGTTAGCTCGCTCTTCAGTGTACTCTCTTGGGTAAGCCCTGGAAGGTTTCTGTGATTCATTGTCCTTATTTTCAAAATGGTAATAACAGAATTTCTATCTCACGGGGCTTCTGTGATGTTTAAATCAGCTTTAGTGCTCCCATTAGTAAACTGCAGAAAGTAACCACTCTGAGTATTGTGTAAGAGAGCGGGGAGCTAGCAGCCTGTAGGAGGAGGTGGAAATTTGAAGAATTATATTATTCTGATGAACATAAAGCTGTGGAAGGATTTAAACAAAGGAGAAGGGCTCTGGGCTATAGCTCAGTTAGTAAAGCACTTGTCTAGCACGCATGAAGCCTTGTGTTCAACACCTGGCCCTACATGAACTAGACGTGGGCATGCAAACCTGCTACCTCAGCACTCAAGAGTGCTGGGCAGGAGGATGAGAAGCTCAAGTTCTTTTTCAGCCATATGATGAATTTATAGCCAGGCTGAACTACATGATACGCTCTTTCAAATTAATTAATTAGTGTGACATTAGGAAGTGCTATTTTTTTACGAGGGGGAGCCAATAAGACAACAGAAGTTAAATTATTGTCCTGAGCATTTTCCCCTACCAAAGAGTAATTTTCACATGTAAAAACACTACAAATGTAACATATTTAAATGACTTAGGGATCATGGGTACCTAAGCTAGCAAAATAAAACATGAAGTCATAACTGTCCTGGGAAGGAGATTACCTACAAATTAATAAATATAGCACATCATCAATCAAATGAAAGTTTGAACATCTAGGCAAATAAAAATTAGCACTATGCTGCAAGATGTTGGAAGCCTCCAAAGAATTGTTGGCATTTTAAAGTTCTTACATTTTATAAAGAAATGTAATGTACAATGTCTTGTCAAAAAGAGGATTGCAGAACCCTTAAACCTGCTAAGCTCAATCAACTTGTGAACAATAAGTAAATACACCTAAAAGAGAAATTCCTAAGAAAACGCTAGCAGCCCCTCTGGCATTTAGTGCACACACACACACAACACACACGACTGTCCCCTTGAAGTGACTAGCCACATCATTTGCCCTCAGGGAAGATCACCAAGCAAACGTAAAGTTAAAAAGAACCTGTGATTTTCACTTCATCATAACTCCAAACCCAAGGAACTGCATTTTACGATCATCAAACCTGTGCCATCCAACCTGGTTGTGAATCTTTCTCTCAGAATTAAGTCCTTTTAATTGTGGAACATATAAAAGTTCAAAACGAGATTCCAGACCCCCCGAAAATTCTTGATTTGTGAAACGAGTAAAATAAAATGCTATGTTTGTTCTAACCTATTATCCAGGAAAGGGGGAGAGAAAAAATACAAAATAAAATACATCAGTAGATCACTGGAAAAGGTGGAGGCAAGACTCTGATGAATCATTTCCTTACATGCTTGGCTTCTGAGTCATACTGTAAGAGGCAAGCACCAACCTTCATTTCAGTTCTTTCAATAAGAGACCAAGAATCTAAAAGCACCTAGGCCAGATCCCGACCGTGGATAACCATATGAATGTATTGCCGGTCAGATAACAGTGTGTGTGAAGTCCATACACAGAGGCAAAAACTCCCATCCCACAGTTAATAGTTCTCACTGTCGCCCAAATCAGGTCTGGCTTAGGTGAACATGAACAGAGTGGGCAGGGCCCAAAGGCACACACTCGTGTCTTCTGTGCACTCTCCTGGTACTGGTAGTTTAATGATGAGGTTGGATAGGTGAAGAGTTATAGGGCCAGGATCTTAATGGATTGTTGGTGTTACTGCAATCCACATAATAAATTCCCACAGTCTGGAACTTTTATTCTATCATGGACTTCTTATGGGTCCTTCAGAGATAATTCATGAGTATACCTTGAACCTTATTTTCTCAGAAATTGTTACTGAACTGGCAGGGTTCGGGCCCTGACTGCCACATGAGAAGTCACTTCAGAATCCTTCTTTCTCCATCCACTATCAATGCTCTTTGGTACACCATGAAGCCTCTTCCTTGTTCCTTTTGTCTGACCCGAAGTCTGGATGTGCGCAGCTCTGCCTCTGCACAGTCTCTCAGCCCTGAGCTCAGAGGCTCATCTCTTTTCCCTGCAATACTTTTATTTCCCAGTGGGAAAGTCGGGAATCTGTCTCAGTGTTTTCTGAGAGCCCTGAGAAACCGGAGAAACCGCTCAAGTCCCTTGAGTTTACAAACACCTGTGAGGGAGAAGGGATTGGGCTGAGAGCCACGGTGCTGTGTTGACAACCCTCTTCAAATAAATCTCCCTCTCCAAACCTTCTCCAACTGCCAACTGCACAGCCAGGCTTAGGGCAAGGGATGCTTGACTAGATAAACCCTGTAAGCCCGCCATTCAGCTCTAATGAATCCATCTAATGGGTCTCACACCCCTTTTCTCATAATATTGAAATATGAGATAAAAAACTCTTATATTAGTAAAAACTAGTCTCTTGGTATTTACAAGTCTAAGGAAACTGAAAGAGCAAGAAATTTAATTATTTTGTTTAATAAATTTACTGTTTGGCTATTTTATTATAACCAAGTGTTTGGACTAAAGTATAATTTTTAAGAATAATATTCCATTTAAGTAGCTATATGAAAATAAATTCTAAATTTTAATAAAGATTTTTGACTTTTGTTTCATACAAAAAAAATCACTAAATTTTGTTTGTAATATAAGAGGGTCAAAAACAGAGAAGAAGACAGGAGAGGAGCAGTGAAGATGAATCTGGAGGGGCTAAGACTCACCTTGTCTCGTCGATATAAACTGCTTCCAGCACGGATGCCGCATATTCGATATTTTTCTTTAGGTCGACAACGTTGACATCGCCTTTCTCCAGCTGCTTCACTAAGCATCTTAGTCTATATCCAAAAGGGAGACACGGAGAGGAAAAGATTTTATAACAAAGTAGATCTAGCTCCATATTAAGTACACAAACTAAGTAAAACATTTAACATGACTACTACTAGGTCATTAAACAGAGATATTTTCATTTTTGCATAACTGAGACCAGTTTTTATAATATAAGTAATTATTAGAAATGATATTCTCTTCTCAGGACTATTAGGAGTATTAGTATATAGTGTGAGAATCACATTCAAGGTGAATTTTCCTGAAAATTCAAGACAATATGTTCAAAACACTTTCCTAAGATTTTACTTTTAAGACTAGAATTTTGTCTCTGATCATTCTGCTTCTTCAGGGCTGGCCATGTTATCTTTCGACAGCACCTTGACCGTTGTTTACCGTTTGCAACGAAGAGAGAGAATGAACAACTCTGGTCCATTGCCTCTCTGGTCCAGTGCTTCCCCCCAGGGTACTCTTTCTCTGCACAGGCCCACAGCAATGGACTGAAATATCAAAATTCAGGAGCAAAAGAAATCTTCTTGACTTAAATCATTTCTATCTGGTATTTGTCATGGTGGTAAACATTAATCAACACTAGTTCACTGCAACTGTTTTTCCAGCCAAGGTGAATCTGAAAAATATTTTCTCTTGACTTTGCCCACAAGGCCATAGGTTTCAATTTTCAGAAGAATTTTAAAGTGTGATGTGTGGAGGGCCCAAACTGTGAGCCTGTTTCCACCTTGTCTGAAGGTCAGAGAGTTTTAGCTTGTTCGCAATTGTTGACAGCAACCAGGGCTACACATTCTGACTCAGGATGTGGTTTCTTGGTTCTTTTGACATTAAGTCATCACCATTCTGTTGTTTAGGCAATGAAGATACCGTAGACCAAATATCCTGAAGGCAGTCATTCCCTACCTCACACCTCCAGCTTCAAAGAAGGAGCAGGATACTGAGGTATAAAAGTGTATGGAAAACAAACAGGTGATTTCAGTATTCACTGGAACTCACATCCTATGCTTGGTGTTACTTTTCTCGCATCTTTGTCCTCCTTACTATTTTTTCTGATTTCCATGTCCCTACCCTGCTAAGTGGTATTTTTGGCAAAGCTGGTCTCCGACAGTGAAGTACAGCTAAGAAAGGTCTGGATCCTGATTGAGCACTAGCTAACATAGGGTATCTTCTATTTCTTAACAGTTTACCTTTGGTAATTCCCAACACCAAGCTTTAGACTATCTGAGAACTTCGCAAAAGGCAGTTGACATTTCCCCCACCAGAAGAAACACTTTCTCTGTAGAAAATGTCACACCTTTATTAGAACTTATTAAGGAGCTGTGAATTATTACACTTTCATAACATTAATTTCATATAATAAGAGACTCGCAGACACTTCACAGAATGAGTTATATGTAGCAGTAAATGAGTTACACGAGTCGGCAGCGTAAAGCAAAGCCCAACTTAAGGAAAGAGCAGCTCTACCAAGCGGCATAAGAAGGAAATGATAAGTCCGTCATGAACCCTGATATACCATCAGAGTTTATGAAACACTGATGATAATGGAGCTAACATGTAAAGGATTTCTCATTTATTCACTGAGATGGGACACTGAAGTTGTTTTGTTTTTTGGCTCTTATGAGTAGTATTGCAATCAACACAGTTCAGAAGTCTCTTTCATACACTGACTTTATTTTTATATGTAATTGCTTAGCTATTTCCTCCAAACTCAAAAGCCTTCTTTTCTGTACCAGAGAAGGACTTATAGCAACCTAGAAGATTGTGTCAAATCTCTAGGTATGTCTCTGTGGGTATTTCTAGTGGAAATTCACGGGCTGCGGGAAACAGAATGATGTGGAGTCACAAAATTCTCCTTTCTCTGTTCTCTGGCTGGCCTGCTGTGAGCTGGTGGGTTAAGTGTTTCTTCAATGTCATGATGGGCTGAATCCTCAGAAACAGGGAATGAGACAAACCTCTCTCTCTTAAGTCGTTTCTGTCAAGTATTGAGATCATAGAGACGAACACATAGCTAACGCCCTGTCCACTAAGGATGGGAGTGGCCTGTGCCTGGCATGGTGGCATGCACCTCTAATTGCAGTACTTGGGGTCTGGACCAGGAGAAAGACCGTCAGTTCAGACCAGTCTATGGACACAATTGGATTCCATATGTATGAAACTAGACTTCATCTTGATGAATCAAATATTTAATGAAAGAACCAAAGTGAAGGACCCACAAATGGAGTAAAGTTCTACAAAACATGCTTCCTGAAGGTTACCCACAGGTTGGTTTGCTAACTCAGATGACTGAGTGGTCCCCATGGAGTCATGCATCAGCATCCTGTTATCACTCCATCAGCATCCTGCTACAGGAAGAGCTGTGATGTATGTAAAATGAGCATGCCCATCAGAAACATGAACCAGGTTTGTGAGCAAAAATACTTTCCAACATAAAAGACTGAAGGACATATAAATTTGGGAATGATTGAGACTCCCCCTTTCTACTTCTCTTGTTTATAAGCACAACATATTTATTTATCTACTTACTAATCTGTCTATTTATTGGTTTTTTGAGACAGGGTTTCTGTTTGTCACAAGGCTGTCCTGGAATTCACTCTGTAGACCAAGCTGGTCTTGAGCTTATAGAAATCTACCTGCTTCTGCCTCCTGAGTGCTGGGATTAAAGATATTAAATTTTTAATTTAAAGATATTAAAATTAAATATTAAACTATTTCTATACCCATATATTTACATGTTTATTCAGTAAATACATATATATATTTGTATAGAAATATTTAGATAAATTTGAAGACTATGATATAAACACAGATGTAAAATTTTATTCAAGTTTTCCACTCATTAGAAAATTTGGTCATCATCATTATCATTATTATCATCATTAACTGTTTATTTTTTTTTAAACTAGGCTACCAAGTATATCTGGGAAAATACCTATCTCATAAAACCTCTGAGGTTTTTGTCCATGCTTAGAAACCAAATTACACCATTTATTCCTTGCATACATACACCGAAATATCTCCTATTAGTTCTGACCTGAGTCACATATATAGCAGACATATGAAGAGGCAGACATATTGATCAGTAATGGAGTGCTGAGAACATGTGTGTGTGTGGCTCACAAAGTCATCCGTGAAGGGATATCAGGAAGGAGCTACTAGGGGTGAAAAAGCACAGACAAGAAAGGGCAAGGGGAGGAACAGGAAGTGAAATTCTTGTTTTAAGATGCCATAATAATACCTAATTCTTTGAAAGATGTCAGAATGAAAACAAACACTGACTCAAATGCAGCAAGGCTGACAAAAATGATCCATGAGATTATTAAAATGTAATTATTAAAATGAAATCATAGAAACATTATGCTAATAAATTTAGCAACTCTGACAAAATGAGCCCTGAGAGACGCAAACTACTAAAGCTCAAGAGGAAATGGACACAACTGCTTTGTGCTAAAATAACTCTTTCCTGAGAACCACAGAGTAGCGTTGAAGTCGTAACTCGGTAGGGATGCTAACTCTCCCAGTACCCACGACACACAAATCACAGCCTGAAATCACACAGGACTGTCAGGATGCCCTGCTCGCTCTGGAATCTAAAACAGCACAAAGTAACAACAAGGACAACAAACTCTTTTCAGATACTTTCTTCCCTGTTGCCGTAGTATTGGTGAAGTTCTCTAAAAATTTGTATCATTGAAGAAAAGAGAAAATTTTGGGATCAATGGGTTACTACTGTGATTTTTGAGGGCTATGTGCAATAACATTGCATTGTATCTGGGAATTTACTAAGGGATAGATTTTAGTCACTTTTACGGTCTTAAAAAATGTAACATGTAAGAAGATGGATGTGCTCTTTTTCCTTACTGTAGTGATTGTATCGGTGTATCCTTACACATGTGTGTAAGTAATGTGTTTTATACTTCAAACGTGTGTAATAAAACAGCATGACAAAGAATATTAGTCTCAAAATGCATTTAAATATGATTATAGTTTCCACTTAAAGGAACAACATAATCCCATTGATAGGCAGTGAAGTCATCTCTCACTATATATGGAAAATTGAGGTTGGGGTCCAGATTTATGGCTCCTCAAATCTGACATAAGCTAGGATAGTCTTTCATGTATCCTGTGCAATGCCCCCATGGTCAAAATCAATGAAGGCTGCTTGTTATCGTTAGTGCTGTATGTGTGATGTGTAAGTAGATGCTATGCTGTGTCCTTTAGGGCTCCATGACAGAGGGGAAACCTGTGTGTGTTCAGTTCATTCGCAATGTTTCCTCATCATTTTCAAAGCACAAGTAATTGAATCAAGAGATGTGGGAACCATGAGCAGCAAGCACCTGCCAGCTAGGATGAGTGGGCTTTTCTATGTCTAAAATTATATCCAACGTTTCCTCTTCTCTAAGAATATGACAAGTTAGTAAAGTATTTATTACTACTTCAAGGGATATTAGTTTATTGTTTTACAGAAATAGACATTGCATAATTCCCAGAATGTAAAAGAAGAATTCCCTTTTAAGTGCAGAGATCGTTAGAAAGGCCTTCAAGATCCACTCCTTTCTCCTTGGAGACAAAACAAACAAAATAAAACAAAATAAAACTGTACAACCGTAACTCTAAGACAGAGCTTAATCATTTACACCTGGTCACTGTTAACAGCTCTGAAGCATTATTGTCTAAATAAATATATCCTAAAGCCTAGTGAATATATTTAAAGCTCTTGTGTCTTGATGAAACAAGAGACTTTCTTCTACTAATGAGTTATTTACTCAAATCAAGGAGACAGGCTAGGAATAGGGAACACTCATTACAGCTGCACCGGAGAGCAACTTAACGTCTTAAATGCCATTCTCTTGGACGCTAGAGAAGTCATTTAGCACTCAGCTCAGCTGTCCTTTGTTAAGCATCTCTCTCATGTGTCCCTCCTGTCTCTGGGGCTATGTATTATATTCCTTACACTGGAGTCTGACCTACAGAAAGAGACTAGACCTTAAATCAGAAGCCAGGA